CCATGGTGGGGGGGAAAAGAGGATTTGAGTGAGGGAGAAAATGGCGGCGGGGAACCGCCCGGCTCCGTTCCCCCCACGCCGGGATCTGACCCTGCCCGCTGACGACCCCCGACCCTTTTTTTTTTTTGCGCTGTCTTTTCTCTCTTCCGCCGCCGGTGACCTGCAGCCTGCTTGCTGCCACCCTGCCCCGGGAGGACCTGGGCGTCCTTGCCCGCGGCCCCCTATTCGGGCCGTCGCCCCTTTCCCATGGGGGGCAACACGAGCCGTGGAAAAGAGGAATAGGGGAGGAAAATGGCGGCTGGGATCCGCCTACCTGGTGTTTCTAGCTCGTCCTGGTTTGTCTTTCCCTCTTCCTCGCTTGGCCCGTCTTGTTCCGCCCTCGCTCTCACCGGTGCTTCGGTGTCTCCTCACGCTCTGCCTGCCGGCCTCTCCCGAGGGGCGCCTACCACCTCCCATTTCTTTTTCCTCCAGTTTCCGCCCCCACCTTCCTCCATATTGGCACTCCCTCATCGTGATGCGGACCCTGGGGTTATCCCCTGCTGGTGCCCGCGCCCCCTGCGTATCAGTCTTTTCCTGTTCGGCTCCCCGATTTCATGTCATCGCGGTGCTTATTTTTATATTGTCCCGTTCCAGCTCTCTTCTGCCTCCATCCCGCAGCGTGGCTTATGTGTGCTTCCCCGTACCCTGTTTCATTTTCAGTGCTACAGCTTCCATCGTTGTGGTCCAAGCTATTACAACAGTATTCTACCCTACTTTAGAACCACGTTGATCCGTTGGCATTATTCAGACTCCGTTTCTTCATTTGCATATGTTTTTTTCACTGCCAGTTTACAAACGCTGCTGTTCCTTTTTCTTTCCTGAGATATGCTTCTTTAAGCTTTTTTTAGCCTTTCCTAGCTGTAGTTTATTTTACACAGTTTCTCTCTGGGATGCTTATTGTTATTCTGAAAGAAAAAATGAGCTATTTATTTGTTACAAAGAGTTTCTAGTTGCAGGCAAGATGTGCAACTGCTGTATCTAACCACATGTTTGCATACTAGAGAGATGTAGAAGCACACCTGGCAGCATGCATTCAAGGAAAGTTGAATGTCTGCTTGTCTGGCAAATGAATAGACTCTAGTGACTGATGTGTTGAAGCTGCAGTGGAAGTATTAATTGCAATACTGTAGTTCACTGTAACTGAGGTGTTTTCAGACGTTTGTATTATTGGTGGGAGCTTTAGCTTTATGTATGACGATTATGCAGTGTGTTGCTTGCAAATCCAGCTGGGTGAAATGTTCATGTAAGAGTATAGATGGTGTTAGGGCCTTAATAGTTTATATCTGTGAATGTAATATAAAGAATTCACTGGAGGACGGTATTGTATTGTATTTTTTACATTATGGTTTCTGCCATATCTAGGGGTATATGAAACTGGTGAAAAATTGTCCCTTTGTAAACAGTTCAGAAACTAAAACACTGCGTTTAATGCAGCAAAAAGGGGGAGAGGTACAAGAGGGAAAAGTGTTTGCGATCGCATTTACAAAATGTATTAAAGCTTATATGAAAAGGCAGGAAAGTCTTTAGGAGGGTTTTGAATAAGATGAGCCTTTACAAACAGGTTTGAAGATGGCTTTCCAGCCGTAATGGGATGTATTCCTTGTATAATGTTCTCACGTTGTTTTTCTCTTCCTAGAATGCCTAAGTCAAAGGAACTTGTGTCTTCAAGCTCATCTGCCAGTGATTCAGATAGTGAAGTTGACAAAAAGGTGAACATTATATGCAGTTTATTACTACTGTATTAACTCTTATATTTCAGGGTGGGGTTAAGAAATTAGGTGAGCATTATGTCACAACATGCATGTCATTCTATATGATTTATTAGACGCTTAACCCAAAACACCCCCTTCTCCCATCCCCACCCCCCAACAACTACAACAACAACAGAAAGAACACCCCCTAAGATTAGGGTTTGGGTGAATAGGATGCTTTTTGCCTTGCAGTAACCTTTTTTTCTTAAGTTGCATTTTGCTCTCTTCCGGGTTTTCCATATGATATATCTAACCACAAGCTTCCTGGAATTCGTTGCTGCTTTGTGGCAAGTGATAGAAGGCTTCTGTACAAGCTGCCACTGGTGGCAAGAATTTGGACTAAATTTGAGGACAAACAGCCCCTCCCTGCCCCCAGCATTTTGGTATCTAGATTATTTGTCCAAAACAAAAACCTCCACTTGCCCTGTCCTCCATGTGCCACTTGCTTGTCTTGTTTGCATGTTCTTTTTCTCTGTTTCAGATTCTTGCGTTTACTGTAATACCATCTGCTGGTTTCTCACTTAAAAGCTGAGCCAACCTGAATGTCTTTGAGTTGATTAACTAACATATGTTGACTGTTTTAAATGTATAAATTTCCCATTTATTTTTAATAGTTAATTTATAAGTTTCTATAGATGTACCGGTCATTATGAACAAAACCAGAAAAAAACAGTGAATTTATCTTTTTAAGAAATGCTAGGTGGTAACGCAGACATTTTTGATAGGGAACTGTATTCCTGAAAAGACATAGTCTAACAGTCTGCTTTAGTGGGCAATAAGGTGTGGGTTTTTTTTTTCCCCCCTGTTATAACCTCCCATATTTGTTGGGACTGTTTGTCTTTCAAAGAGGTTATCCACAATATGATTCTAGCAGATGAGACTAATTTTTGGTATCTTTGTAGTACTCTTTTTTTGGGGTGGGCATGGTTACTATATAACCATTAGTAGAAATAATAAATTTGTGGCATCTGCAGGTAATCTGATTTACAGGTGATATTGTCTGAACGTTTTAAAAACATGTTTAATTTATCTGCTGTGGACAGAGACTGGATGCTGATTTAAAAAAAATTACTCTGATGGAGGTGATTTCCAGAGCCTTTCTTCATTATCTCATGTAGTTTTTTTTTCTTTTTTAGAAGAGTGTAAGCTGTCCTGCATTTTTTGTTGCACTCAGTATAAAGGAAGGTGAAACTTCCATCAGACTTTAAATTTTTTGTTAAAACTACTGAACTGACAGTATTACTGTGCAGAAAGAGTAGGATTTTTGAAATGTATTTTGATCTAATTCAGTTCTTTTTAAAACCAAAGTATTACGGTCAACTTCACTGGGAACAGAATTAGGCTCATTTGAAGATTATTTTTTTTAAGTTGCAGTGTAAATATACAGTATTGGATTCCTGCCTTCACAGCAGGAAGGTGATAATGTGCATTGCATAGAGGTAGTTTGTGACCTCTGACATAAACTTTTCTGTAACTTACAGAATGAGTTGTGGTTCATGCTTTTCTTTTTTTTTTATTCTTGCTCCAAGGCAAAGCGGAAAAAGCAAGCAGCTCCAGAAAAGCCTGTAAAGAAACAGAAGACTGGTGAAAGTTCAAAAGGTGCAGCTTCTTCTAAGCAAAGCAGTAACAGAGATGAGAATATGTTTCAGGTAAAATTGATGACTCTTAGAGCCTGCTTAAGGTAACACGTTACATCATATTCAGTATAAATTTTATGAGGTGATCTGAATATCTTGACAGATGCTTGGTCTCCTGAAGCCTTGGCCAAAGGTGATTATGATGCTAGCATGCAGATGAGATACTCAGAAAAAGCATTGTCACGTTTCAGCAGAGTAAAAGAATCTGAGTTGTAGCAATTGATCTAACCCTCATGTCGTTGCCCCTGGTAGCTCTGGGAAGTCATTTTGTTGGTAAATACAGCACTTAACATGAGTATGCTGTAAATATTAGATCAGGACTGTCTCTACATGGAAATGTTTTTTTATCGGGGCTCTTGAAAGAAAGGTTCTTGGAAACCAAAGTATGGACTGTTCAGTCCTATTTAACTAGGTCAAGGGCAGCTTGGCTCCTGTATTATAAGACAGGGTCTTGGAATAAGTTTTGCTTGTTCCTTTGTTTTATGATGCAGGTTTTTCTCACTGAACATCCAGAAAGATTTTAATTTTTGATATTGTCCTTGTTTTTAAGATGGGATGAATGTACATTTTTCAGTAGCAAGATGCATTTGTGAATTCAGGGTATTGCAGTTCCTGGGGTTAGCCGAGGCAGTAGCAATGTGTGCTGAAAGCTGTGTGAGAATATATGTAGCTCAGAATTACCTGTTTTAGGGGTGTGGATCAAGACTTATTAAATGTCTCTGACTAGCTGGCTGGAAAGGAACTTAAATTCTTACGGACTTTGATTCCTAAGTTTGTGAAAGGGTATGGGAGAGGTGCCTAATAAGATGGCCCCAACACTGAGTAAGGTAAAATAAATGGTTTTGGGCTGTAGCTATGCAAAGTAATAGGGCAAAAAATTTTTTTTTCTAGAGAGAAGACCTGATTAACTGGTACTGTAATACAGGGCAGTTATTTTTTATGTATCAATTCTCACTTTCCTCTTCACATATAGTTGGGAGGGAGAGCTTCAGTTGAAGGCAGTGCCTGGACTTCCCCATTGAAGGAAGAATATATTTCTAGTTCTGCTGGGGTATGCTTTGAACTATGTAGGAAAAATGAGATAGTGTCTTCTACACCTTATGAGGTGAACTGCAGTTAGAACTCAAAAAAACTATGTACAAGCTTTATGCTATGTTTGTAATAAGTTCAGAAATTCCAGCCTTGGAGAAAGCTATTAAAATTTTTAATGCTCCCCTGATGCAAAAAAAACCCAAACCCTTTCAAATAAATGCAAAAGTTTTTGCATGCTCTGATTTCTTTCAACCTTTTTGACCTAAGATAATAAAAAGTTACTAAAAACAGACAGTAGAGGACTCCTATTATTCTGATAAGAACAGGATTCTTCCAGTGTTGAGTATAATACAGAAAAAATACTTGAATATCACCTTGACCTAAAACATCAGTGTTACTTAGTCTCTGCTTGCCTTTTAGTTAATCAACAAGAAATTTTTTTTTAGAACGCTTATTGTGTTATGTGAAGCATTGTGAGTTTTTTTTCATGCTACATCAGCTTATGTGCATAACTGAGATGCAACTGTTTCAGTGTAGAAGTAGCACTGTAGGTCTGAGGATACTTCCCCTCTCTCCCCCCTATCCAGGAGAGCATGCTAGAAGATGTAGCCTGTTAATTTTTTAGGTATGGTTTTGTTTGTTCTAGGACTATTAGTAATACTAGAAACTCTCCTTTCTCCTTTCCCATGGCAGTAAAATGATCTCTGATGCGCACACGACTTTGCAGTATAACTTACAAGTGTGGCTTCAATTGATGGAGACCAGGCTGTAAAGCATTCATAGGATAGTCAGAAGTTCTGTGGTGTCCATATTGTGTGTGGGAGTGGCAGCAAATGATGTGAAACTTGGAGGCTTGTTGTTCTACGCCCTCAGGCTGTGTTCTTAAAGTATACAGCTTCTCTTAGTATAGAGCTCATTGTGACTGCTTTATTCAGAAGGTTCAGCATTTTCATAAAGATCTACGTTTTATCATTTTTGTTTGAGACGAATGTTGGTGTAATGGTATTCTTGAAACTAATCATGAAGAATAGTATAGATGTAAGTAGAAGGGAATTAATGCAGTGTAAGATACCAAGCGTATTTTATTTATTTACATGTCTTGGCCTTTTTAGGTTTTATAGGTAGCCTACTTTGGAATTTGTTGAAAGATTTGGGTGCAGTTGGGGTGTGGAAGTTTATCTTACTCCCATTTGTGATGTATTACTAGCGGCCCTAAGGACAAGCATTATTCATGTTAATGTGGAAGAGTTTAGTCTTTATACATTAGATTCCTGTCTGTGGCTTCAAGCCAACGTGAGCTCTGCATCATGTGCTTTGGTTAGTTTGACTAATCCTGTCATCTACCTATGCCTGATTTGGATAAGGTTTGTTAATGCTGTCAGGATGCAGTATTAATGACTGCCCAGAGTGGATCCACATCGCATGATCAGGCATTTCACTGAAATTCTTACTTCAAAAGTTGTTCGTCTGTGTGTTGTTGTCCCTGTCCTCCTCCCCGCCTTCTTATTATTTTCTTTTTTTTTTTAAAGTTTGGGTCGTACTTGCTTTTTGACTTGTGAGAAAAGTTCTTTGGTTTCCCAGTGTAATGTCTTTATCATAGCCTCCTGAAAGTAGATAAATACGTAAGTTTATGATGTTCTGGAAGGGTGATTGGTTTAGCACATTAATTCTGAAACTTAGGTGGTCACCAATGCATTTCACAATCAGTTTGCTGTGTTGCAGATCTCACTGTTTACAGGACTCCTTATTGTGCTCCTTCTAATGCTATACATATAGTTATCAGCTAAGAAAGAAGGATGCTTTTTGCTGTTTCTACTTCCACAGTGTGTATACAGTTTAATCAAGACAAACTGGAAATAGGAAAAATGGTGAAGAAGGTGGTTGCTGAAATTCATACAGGAAGTCAGCTGCATAGCTGTGAAAGGAACTGAGGCACAGTTCAGTGTGTCAGAAACGGAAACCTGGAAATAATGTTTTTAATGTCTTCTGATTTGTGCAATTCAATAGAGTAGTATAATCTAAGGAGCTGTAATATTTAATAAAAAGCATATGAACTTGTCTACGAAGGTTGAACTGCAGTAACTACGCTGCTGTAAATCAATACAACCCTTGGAACACTACTGTGGTTTTAGAGATACAAAGATGTCTTAGATCAGTGAAATTATTCTAGGACTATCAGCTGCCTGTGTGGAAAAAAAAAATGTTCAGAAATGAATCTGTGCCAGAATTGCAGGTAACTGAACATCAAGAAACATCAATTTACTTAAATCTAGATTTTGGTTGGGGTTTTTAACCTTAGATGTTAATTGAAACTGTACTTCAGAAGCCTATTTAAAGCTTTTAGCAGTGGCAGCTTTTGCATAGAGTTCAGCTAAATGTTCAAAATTTAACGTGAACATGCAGCTGAAATCTAGACAGTGATCATAGAATCATAGAATCATTAAGGTTGGAAGAGACCTCCAAGATCATCGAGTCCAACCGTCAACCCAACACCACCATGCCCACTAAACCATGTCCCTAAGCGCCTCATCTACCCGTTGTTTAAATACTTCCAGGGATGGTGACTCAACCACTTCCCTGGGCAGCCTGTTCCAATGTTTAACTACTCTTTCAGTAAAGAAATTTTTCCTCACATCCAATCTAAACCTCCCCTGGCGCAACTTGAGGCCATTTCCTCTCATCCTTTCGCCAGTTACTTGGGAGAAGAGACCGACACCCACCTCGCTACAGCCTCCTTTCAGGTAGTTGTAGAGAGCAATGAGGTCTCCCCTCAGCCTCCTTTTCTCCAGGCTAAACAACCCCAGCTCCCTCAGCCGCTCCTCATAAGACCTGTGCTCCAGACCCCTCACCAGCCTCGTTGCCCTTCTCTGGACACGTTCCAACATCTCAACATCCTTCTTGTAGTGAGGGGCCCAAAACTGAACACAGTATTCGAGGTGCGGCTGCACCAGTGCCGAGTACAGGGGCACAATCACTTCCCTGCTCCTGCTGGCCACACTATTTCTGATACAGGCCATGTATCTGATGTAGAACCTAACTTAATTTCAGCATTTTCATACGGAACTGTTTCCATTTAAGGTAGACTTACTGATTAAGTAAATGTGAACTTTGCATTATTGCCCCTTGCCTTACTGTAGTTGAATTAAGACATATAGTCTTATCCTTAAAATTCAAATCCTAAACACTTTTACTGTATTTGCAGCTGCAATCTGCTATATTGTATCAGATTTTATTTCTTAGAACAAATCTGGAGTTACTTGGCAATGCACTAATATTCTTTGATAGCCCTGGGGAAAAAAGGTGTTGCGGCGTACTACTACTTGAGCTGTTCTTAGAGGTGACCTTAAAGGTCACTGAAGCGTTAAAGGGTGAAACCAAGGAATGTTGTGCATGTAAGCTATTTGGGATATTCTTTGCCAGCGGTGCTGACGGACTTGGGCATGGTACCAAGTTTGGTCTGAAAGAACTAAGCTACCATGACATCATACCTTATTTTTGAATGTTAGATTTGTAGTACTGTGAAAGTATTTAATAAATCAATCAAAAAATACTGTCTTATAAACTATAACGTCTTGTTCATTTTAAAGGATGCTTTGAAGTAGGAAAACTGCTTCAGGCTTATGGTATCTAAAGATGTCCTAATTGTTTTAAAATCAATTTTAGAGTTAATTTAGCATGATCTGCATAAGAACAAAAACTGCTTTAAGCAAACATAAAGCATTCTTGTTTATATCTATTTTGTGAAATAACAGCTTATGACTTAAACATCTGCAGCTTATTTTAGTTGATTGGAGAGTTGTTCAAGCTTTCTGGTCAGACTTAATGCTGGTAAGATGTGTTTGGGCCCTTGTTAAATTGTATCAAAATGCAAGGTGCATAAACTAAGGATGTTGAAAACTAAAGTTAACGTTTTATCAGGAAGGAATATTCTATTCTAAAATTGTTTTCTTTAGAATGTGTTCTTTCTTCATAAAGTGTATCCAGAAGGTGCATACAGAATTCTAAGAATTTCCTACATTAATTGTGTTTGATTGTGTTTTTATTATCTAATTTCTGATTCTCAAATTCACGTTATACTTTGAATTTATGTGAACAAATAGTTTTTTATCTAATTTGGAAAGACCTTTAATGAGCCTAAATAGTGTAATGCATAGTTGTCAGTATGACTGCTCCCCTTCTCCCATGTGGGGCCGCTGCCTCCCCCCCCCCCCAAAAAAAAAAAGTGCCCTCATACTACAGTAAAGCCACTGTGCCACTGAAATTATGGAATTCCAAAGTCATGTTGTACTATGCTACATGCTGGTAAACTTTTTTTTGAACAGCTGGTACAGTGGGACAGTCTTTTAAACACAGTTCCGATGAAGTGCCGTGAGGACGTGGGAGTGGGCATGGGACAGTTGGTGGCTACCTTTCATTTTCATCTGTATTTACGGTGTTTAAAAAAAGAAAAAAACAAACAAAAATCCCTCAAGAAATTGTGGTTATCTCATGTGAATATCTAATTTGCTTTTGTACCTGTGGAATGGACTAAAATTTAGATTTGGGAGTAGAGCTCCCTCTTTCC